ATCAATCTGAAATATAGGCACATGAGAGATTCAAATGCTTGTTTCTTATATGATCTTGCTCTCCTTCCACCACCATAAATTATTTGGCTCTACTTTCTTACTAAGGTCACAAGACAGCACTGCTGATTTATCCAAGTAAAAATGGCTATTTAGGTTCACAATGACCAAGATGGTGGCATGAGAACAATTGGTTAAGCCACTCATGTTTCATTCATGAATTACCCTCAGTTCAATGGAATTAAAATTAAGAAAATCACAAGCTTTCTTTGCAGAAATAAAGTAATAGTTTCACAAGATTTCCAGATTTTGGTGAGTCTGCTGCCACTGTACAGAGGCATCCAGATATGGCAGCATTTGCAGGTAGTTTTAATCAGTATCAACTCTAAAATGGAATTCTTAAAGAAAAGGGAGTTTTCAGCAGTCATCTTACACAAAACAAGCTCCATGACTTTCGCACCAGATGGAGCAAACTTCAATTCAAATAAATTAGTATTAATCTGTGACATGTGAATATGACTTGCCCTACAATTTCAGATTATCCTATGGAGATTCATCTTTCTGACCAATTGGAGATTGCTTAAATGAAACCTATACTCCCTCCCAGACCTGTGCATGAAATGTACTACACGATAGTCAAAAAAATGATGGGCGTGGGTAGGGCCCTAATGACAAGGAAGCCCCATTTATTCTGACATCTTATCTCTGTCTCTTCCTGTTTCATCCAGTAGATATTTTTTATTACATTATTTATTTTCTATTATCCTGAATGATAAAAACCCACAACTCTGATGCAGTTGTCAGAGTAGGACAGCATAGCTTCAGTAGTCTAAAGGCATGATCTCCACCAGCACCAGCTTCCATTCTGAACCAGTTTCTCCTAAAATGTCTCATATGACATCTCATTTTTGTAAATTCCTCATTTCCTCTTGAAAATCTCTATTACAGTTGTCAATAAGGATTTAAATGCTTCTGGAAGAAATAGTCATCAAAACTGACAGGACTATGAATGACTGACATCAAGCAAGAGGGAAAATCAAATCATGGTTGGGATGTGGCAAAGTCATAACATGTAACGAAGTTTGTACCCCCATATTTTTCTGAAATAAAAAAAAAAGAATGTAACATGCAATTAAAGTTGCACAAAATTAATGTTGTGCATTAATACATTTTTGACAAATATATCCAAATGCTGAATCTAATCATTATAATTTTTTATAAATATAATGTGTGCTAAAAAAAAAAAAAATCACAGCAATGTTTCAGCACTTTACTCGCTGAACAACTTCTTCTACTCAGTCCATTTGCATGAAATGGGTGTGCCAGAAATTGGCCGTGCCAGCAGATGCTTATGAGAACTGTTTGGCATGCATGTTGGTGCCATTCCACACTGCTGAAAGACGAAATACAACTCCCCTGGAGGAATTGTGTATTTTCTAAAATAGTAACTTATAGAATAGGAAAACTATAGATTCTTTATATTTTGGCTCTTGATCTACAAGCCCCAAATTTGTGTTCTCTTGCTTTCTAATTTGATTTTTCATATTTCTGAATAGCAGTCAGCTCTTTTCTTAACCAGGTACGTGGGTCATAAGCGCTTGGGGCATTTCTTCCAATATATACGAGTCCAGACCCTACCTGTGCCATCACACTAACACCCTGGGGTGGGGCCTGAGCATGTGTATTTTGAAAAGGTCACCAGATGATTATGAAATGAATCCCTGGTTAAGAGCAATTATTCTAGATCATTTTTTATAGGCAAATAATTATGACACATACATGTGCATATCTATACCAATATAATTCTTCTTTATCTCTCATGGTGTTCTTTAAATGTTCTTGTTTGCATACCTTTCTTTCCTCTGAATTTCTGTGTTTAAAATTGTCATGGAGTTTTCCACAGGTAATTTTCCTAGACAAATTTTATGCTATGTCAGTGTATGTTAGATATTCTTCATCTGTGGGGCAAAGTGGTTAACCAAGATCAGCAACTCCTTCCAAAACAATGCCATTTTAACAGATAGTCAGGTAACAAATATTTATTCAATAGAGTCTGTCTTATGGTAAAGGCTGAGAGGAATGCAAGAAGTATAAGACATGGCCCTGTGCTCTTCAAGGAACACTTATGATAGTACTGCAATAGAAATAGCCAATTTAAGAAATGTTAAGTAATCACATAAGGCAGCATGTGATTCAGGATTAAATTGCTAGCACTTAAAAAAATGCTCTAAGGATTAAGGAGAAGTTGTACACTCTCCAGACCCAACAGCCAGGCCACACTTCAGAGAGGGCCTGGGGTTTAAGGAATGGGTAGGGGTAAATGGGAGAGGCAGTAGGTGTTCTGGGCCAGGACACCACACAAACCAAGGCAAGAAGGAACGAGATGTGGGCAGTGAAAACACAGCCCTCTGCAAGGAAGAGGTCTGGCATCAAACAGGCAAAGGCCAGACTCCATTATTAGGCTCAGGGTCCTAAAACTTACCCTATAGCTATATTATTAGAAAAATCATCAAAGTTTTAAATCAGCAGAACATGGGGATGGTAGTATTTTAGAAAAATGTTTTGGGTTTTTTTTCTTTGGTATCTCTATGAGTATGAGAGATAAATATTAATAATAAGGAGACTATGAGAGCAATTAGGATCTGGGCTATAGGGGTGAGTTTACGAAGAATTAATGTAACTCAGTGGCTGACTGGCTTGAGTTTCCAGCCTGTAACCAAACGGACGCATATGAACAAGGGGAGAAAAGGGGAAGGCAGGAGTGGAAGCAAGTCAGAGCTGCAGTTGGAGACAGCAGAACAGCGCCTTGGAAGGAACATCTGCCCTGGACACATGGCTTTGGAAGAAGCTGGTGGAAGGAAATGATTTTGACTCAGAGCACAGAAGGTAGAGTAAGGGAAATAAAACGTTAAAGATTGAATCTGGAGAAATAGGATGCTAACGACCACAGGGGAAACGCAGAATAAATGACGCAAACGAAAGACCTTGGAATGGCAGGAGATCTAGCGGCAACCCAGAAGCCAAGGAAGAAGAGAGTTTCAAAGCAAGAGTTCATCAACACTGTCTCACGCAACAGAGAGGTCAAAGGCCACTGATATCACCCCAGTTCTAGTCCCAGCAACCCACTGTGTGCCCAACCCACAGTTGATCTTTTTCCTTTAATCTCTAGTTACTAATCGTCCATGACAATAATTTACCACACACATCTGGTTATTTTGTAATGTCTATCATCAATCCATACATACGTGGATATTATATGTCTTACCACCTTGACACTATGATAAAAAGCCTGTTAAGGGAAAAAAATCATAATTTATGCACAGCCTCCTCTCAACTATGGTGCCTCCACATTGCCATGCCACTAGCAATCCTTTAGAAATACCTTTAATTGATTGTTACTATGACTGTCCTGTTTATTGTGGTATGCAGATAAAGACCAGCTGAATTCAGAGAGAAGACAAGGACACTGCTCTAGTGTTGGTCCTTACTACTGAAAGTGTGGTCCATGGACCAGCAGTGTCAGGACCACCTGGGAACCTGTTGAAAATTCAGAATCTCAGCTGCCGTCCCAGACCAAATGAACCAGAATTCTGCATTTTAACTAGATCGCCAAGTGGCTAATGTCTATGCACGTTGGTATTCAAGAGAAACTGGAATAGACTCAGTACAGTATAGACAGGGCTAGCACCAAGTTACCAAAGAGGTTAGTTGGAGGAGACAGCACATGAGTTTCAGCACGTGGGCATGTGCTAAGACCCAACTCCACCCTGCTCAGAGCCATGGCTCAGTGACAGAACCCAAACCCTTTGAGGGTGTGGCAAGGCCAGGCCCGGAAGCAATCTGGCTTTTGACCAGGAGCCCAGATATATAAATCCTTCTTCCATAAACTGCCACTAAATTCAGTTTTAGAAAGGGCTTTAGAGATTGTATCTACTAGGTTGTTTTTCCTGGTTTTATAAATATTCTGACCTTCGAAAGACCCTATTTACGCTCTCCACATTTCCCCAGACCTAGGAATTTATAATATGTTTCTGCCTCCCATTCATTTCTCTGATAACACTAGGTTTCCCTCTAAAGTTGCAATTACTAAAATACATTTTGGGCATAATTAAAAGCCAAACCTGGAAATGCAACTTCAATCCCAAACAGTAAGGGCCTGCAACTAAGAGAGCTACACTGAAAGCACTCTTGTTTAAACAGCCAGGTGTCCAGGAAAAGCTCCCTAAAGAAAAAACTATTAGACAAAGGAACAGTCATATCCCAGAAGATGAAGCTCAAATGGGGTAATGACTCTCAAAGTAGAACCTTCCCTTTGTTGGGGATGTTCTCAATGCTTGAATATTTCTTTCTCTGATTTTCCTATAGATAGGTATAGTGAGTATCACTACCCCAAAATATCACTGTGCTAGAAGAGTACTCTGTGGGTCTTTTATTATTTTTAACAGCTTTATTGATATATAATTTATACACCGTAAAGTTCACATTTCAGAAATGGAAGAGACTTTCCTTCCATCCCCCACCTTCAAGCAATGCTTGATTAAACTCACCCAGGAATGTAATAAAGCCATTTTTTAACTCTCCAGGAATGTAGGACACTGGTATGACCCTCTGATAATACATCCTACTATCTCAGTCTTTATCAGGGGAAGGAACATCTTGACTAATTTCCTGCTACTAAAATTCAGACTATCAGCATCTATAGAAGTAATGACTTTTAATGCTATATTTCAAAGATAGCTGGTTGGAATACCATCGTAGGCCCCTGTAATCTGCTTACTTTGTAGGAACTCCGCTAGGAAGTGAGCTTCCCTTACTTCATCCAAAGTGGAAATCACAAATTCTTACAAACAACTATTCCCCCCATTTTTCCTCAACTATTTTTCTACGAAATGGCATGCTTTTTAAGGGCTGCTGGAGCCTGCATGGATCGGTTATTTTTCATTTCAAGGATGGCATGAGTACTCAGGCAGGTTTTTCTTTCAAAAAGAAAAACAGCAACTTACATGCTCTCACAGAACCTCGTCAGGGTGCTGGGCTTCTCCTGATTGCGTCTTTGTCGAAACCAGTGCTGAATGCTTCGAACATCCCAGTCCAGTTGCTTGGAGAGGCCTTCCAATCTCTTTTCATCAGGATGCTATGAAACAAGGTACCAGGAGAATAATTTTCAACCTATTTTCATCTGCCCTGGCCTATGTTTGAGATTTTTTTTCCTATTGTTTACTATCTGCTACTGAGATTTCTGTTTACCAGTGAGGATCTAGGCCTTCCACTAGCAGCAGGAACATAAATGACCACTGGGACAAGAAAGGTTACTCATTATGAAACAACAGTGAAAAGCATGAATCTTCCTCTAATGCTCACACTTCTTATCAGCAAGGCACTTCCCAAGGGGCAAGAAAGATGGGATGGAACAGCCAACTGGCTGAGTCAGCTCCATCAGCCTTCAAGGGAAAAGTGTTCAGTGAAGGTGAATTTGGAAAGAGGCATCACTCACATATTTCACTTTCTCAGGAAAAAAATGCCATACCCAACTATCATATATCAGGATAACGTAGGACAAAAAGCATGGAAAAATCCCAAAATGCCTCACTTAAGCCTAAGGTACCATTTCTACTATCAAACATATTTTTCCTTCCTTCCCCTTCTCACCTCCTCCCTGCCTCATTCCTCACACATTCCTCTTCTAGTCTTTTTTTTGATTATTCCTTTTGACCATATCCCACATTGAGTCTTTTACTAAGACTACACATTACTTGAAGACATAAACTTGGTGAAGTTGCAAGAGATGGCCCTGAGACTACAGGCACAGGTCCAATTCCTCACTCCACTGGCCTCTCTAAGGCTCATCAGTAAAAAAAAAAATGGATTGTTTATCAATCTAAATGGGATTGCAGTAAGAACCAAATGTGCAAATGTATGTAAAACTCAGTAAACGTTAGTTTTCCTCTTTCCTGTCCCTCCCCTCTTTTCAACATGTTATAAAGCATCTCGCCAACAATCACGTGAGGATGACCTACTACACGACAAAACTAAGCCAACTGAGTTCCATTCCTTTATTTATTCCATCTTTTCTTTAATATTAGTGATGTTATTTTAGTCTCTCTTTACTTTAATATTAATGCTTTAATATTAATGATCAGGAAAATTAACCACAAAAGGGGTAGGAAGGAGGTAGCCTGACCAGCCTTCAAGTTATATGGGTGGAATGCACATATATAATAAAACCTTTCTAAAAGCATCTCAAGGCATCAGTGCTATGGACTGAATGTGTGTGTCCCCCAAAAATTCATATGTTGAAACCCTAATTCCCAATGTGATGGTATTAGGAGCTCATGAGGGTGGAGCTCTCATGATGAGATCAGTGCCCTTATAAGAAGAAACACCAGAGAATGTGAGTGTGTGTGCTCTCTCGTTCTCTCTCTCTCTCTCTCTCTCTCTCTCTCTGCCACGTAAGGCTACAAGAGAAGGTGGTCATCTGTAAACCAGGAAGAGGGCCTTCACCAAAACCCAACCATGCTGGCACCCTGATCTCAGATTTCTAGCCTCCAGAACTATGAGAAATAAATGTTTGTTGTTTAAGCCACCCAGTCTATGGTATTCTGCTACAGCAGTCCAAAGTGACTAAGATAGTCAGACACTCAGAAAACACAGCAAATGGCCTTAGGATACAAAATGTGCTGACCTAGAACTATAAATGTAATTTGCTAGCTTTCAGTTGGGCACATACTTTGAGTTGGTTTTTTTAGTAGTAATGGCACCAACTACCCTTGCCTTTCATGTCTCTCTTAATCAAAAATGTGGCAGGGAGAAAACTCATTGCCTACAGTATACCTTGGCTATACCATTATCCTAACAGAATTCATTTTTTTTTTTTCTGCCCAGCTATTTGATGGAATTCACTTTTTATTTCAATTTATTTTCTGAGTTTATTGGCAGAGAAAACATTCACATGATTCACAAATTAAAAATTATCCAAAGTTTCAGCTTCCAACTTTGTTCCTACTCTCTCCTTCCTACTAGGTACCCACAGTTATTGAGCCAGTTTCTTTACAGTTCTTTTATGCAAATATAAGCAAATTTGAATCTGTATTCTTAAATCCACCCTTGTCACACAAAGTGTTGCATACTACAGACATTGTTGTGGACTTTGGGTTTTTCACTTTACAATGTATCTTGGAATATTTCCTATCAGTTTATAGAGAACACCCTCATTCTTTTGTAGGGATATACTGTAATTTATACATTCTGCTTTAATGGACATTTACATAGCTTCCAAACTTCTACAGCTATAAACAAAGCTGTAATAAATAACCTTGCCATGGGTCATTTTATTTAGGTTTATTTGTGGCATAAATTCCTGGAAGTGAAAGCTATAGATCAAGGGGGTCTATATATTTATAATTTATTTTAACATTGAAAAATTACTCTCACTAGTGATTGTGCCAATTTATACTCTCACAAGCAAGAGCGTGCTTTTCCCAGAGCCTCAACAGAGTATATGGGACTTTTCCATTTTTTTCCAGTCTGATATGTAAAATGTATTCTTCTCAGTATAGTTTTGATTTTTCTTTTTATGAGAGAAATGTCTTCTCATGTGTTTTAAAAATCATTTTGTATTTCCTTTTTTTGTGAAGAGTATGCTCCTATTTATTGCTTTTTTTTTTCTTGATTTGTTGACATTTTCTTTGTTGATTTGTAGGATTTCTTCATTTGTTAGGGTGATTAAACTCTTGGCTACATCATAAGTTGCTAACTTTTTACTAGTATGTCATTTGTGTTTTAGAATTTGCTTTTTTGTTT